ACATACAAATACAAGCACATACAAGTATCACACATACGACTAGTATAACAACATAATCAAACAAGGGTCGGCCTTGGTGTCTTAGACCCGAAGAACCTGGTGAGGAAACTCACCTCGAATGCTGAAAGACAACTGGATAAATCCTGGCCCCGAAAATCAGCTCTACTCAACCCCTAAACAGAAACAATCCCTTAGATACCGATCAATATTCAAAACTCCATAAGGTCAAACTTGGTCAAAGTTAAAGTCAAAGTCAACATTCCGAGTTGACTCAACTCGCCGAGTTGTTCTTCATCTCGCCGAGTTTCCTCATTAAACAACAGAATCACGAAAAGCCGGACCAACTCGCCGAGTTCACCCATGAACTCGCCGAGTTTCCCTATAGCCAGCATAATCGGGAAAAGTCGATCCAACTCGCCAAGTTCACCTATAAACTCACCGAGTTCTTCAGGAAACACACCTCTTAATCCATTAAGTCACCATTCTCGAAACTAAAAGGTCCACCACTCAGATCTGGACTAAAATATCGACTAGAAGGGTAAACTTTCCAACTTTACCCTTAAGAACCATCCTAATAGGTAAAGAACCCAAACCCTAAGCTTAAAAGGTTAAGGATTTAACGATAAGTACTTATTCACCAAGACAAACCCCCAAAATACAAATTTGGTCCTTAAAGGCTGCAACCACATGTAAAGTTTCCAACTTTACTCTCAAGTATGCTTAGAAGAGGCTCAAATGTCCAAAAGAAGCCATAAGATGGACTTAATGCATGCATGGAGCCCTTAAGACCATAAAGTTGGTACATTTATGCCAAAAGAGCTCAAGAGGACCATGGATCTGGAACTGGAAGCGTAGCATTTAGGACGACCTTCAACCCCACAATCATCAAAATATGGATAAAAGCCTTAAAACTAACCCAAGAAGAGATCTAATCAAATATTGAGCAAGGTTAGACCTTTATACCAGAAATATGCTAGAAATGAAGCAAAAAATCAAGATCTTGAAGGCTCCAACTTGAATCACCACCTTGCACCAAACTTCTTCTTCTTCTAATGGCTTCAAACACACCAAAATACACTCTCAAAAGGCTCACAACACTCAAAAAGGCTTTAGGGTTTCGAGATCAGGGTTATGGACTTTGGAGGCTGGAAATGAGGCCAACACCTGGGACTTAAGGTGTTTAAATAGGGTGCAAAACCCTAAAATTAGGGTTTCCTCCAGAGCTGTCAACTGCCTCATAAAATACCGCGGCCAAAACAATTTCAACACGTCGAGTTGGGGCTTCCAACTCGACGAGTTCTTCAAGAAGAATGCAATACTTGAATTAAAATCATACCAGGAATAAGGCGTTACATTATTTTTTCCATGGTACTAGGAAATGGAATCCTAAAATGACACCTTATATATCTTCAAAACATAAAATATTCATATTACAAATCTTACTAGAACTGCTTGTTTTTTACGAGAAGGTTATGATTTGGTTTTTGATGCAACAAGCAGTGAAAAACAGTTCTTAATTGTTGGTACTAAACATAAAAAAATTGATTAAGTAGCATGGGCTACAATAAGGGCTCGATGTCATTGTATTAATAAAAAATTGCTCGATCGTATGTTAACGAATTGGTCCACTATAAAAACAAGACTTCATAAGTTTAGAGACTTGAGAACCGACAAAAAAAGGAGGACTCAACCGTTTTCCGAAAAGAGATGCGGCTCTATTGAAAAGACAATTATCTCATTTGCAAACATATCTGGACGATATTAATTGTAATCCAGACGTTGGTAATTTTACCAAATTATTGAAACTAACTTCTAACCACTAACCAACCGTTCAAAAATATAATAATTAAACTTGGGTTATTTTGTTTAATAACTTACAATGCAATACACATTAAAAAAACACATAGATATATATTACAATCTTAGTAATATGATAAAAATACAAGTGACTTAAAATGTTTTAATTAACCATTATGGACAAATCATTTTAGTGCATAACATGTATTACTTTTTTTTTAAATGTATATGAAATATTTATTTAGATGTGTTAAATATAGTTTTGCTTTATTTAATATAATGGTTACACCAACATTTTATTTGGGTTATAAATTTTTGATGATAAAATTTATCAAACTATTTCAATAAAAATATGTGTCAAGTTTATAAAACCTAATAAATATAAATTCTATGTTTGTAAAGTTATAAAAATTGGATAAAGAGAAATATATCTAGAGCATTCTTTTTGGTGTTAAATAAAATGTAATGGGTTGAAGAGGATCAATGTTTACGATAAATGTGTGTAAAACAAAAATGTATGAAATAAACTAAAACCATGATGTATTTAAATCAAATTCATGTTTGTTTCAAATGTAAAATATATGATGTCGTTTTCGTGTCAAATGTAAAATAAACGAAAATTCTATTTTATTTATTTCGTATTTGTTATGTTGATCAGCTTTATTGTGTTTTATTGGGTCGTTTGTTAATAAGCACGGCATCATGTTGTTTTGTGTTCGTTTTATATAGAAAAATTATATCGCATCATATCAGCTAAATATAAAACAAAATATGATTTGTCGGCGTTTACACTATTTTTATCATATTAATCTAAAATATAGTGCAAGTGTTGAGATGGGTTTATCTAAACTCCATGCATGTGAAGTGCCAACATTAAAAGTATATTTAAATTATTAATAGTTAACATTACCTGATTGAAATGTCAAATTATGTGACTGTGTACAATGAAATTATATTTTAGGTAATAAAATTTTCAGATTGATTATAAAGTTATAATTTATAGCCAAACGTTGAATATATTTTAATTAAAAATTGACCAAAAATACCTTTTCCTTATCCCTTATATGTGTACAATGAAATAAAATATATGTGTACAATGAAACTATACTTTATTAGTAAAAAATACCAAAAATTGACCAAAAATACCTTTTCCTCACCCCTTAAATAAAATATGTGTACAATGAAACTATACTTTATTAGTAAAAAAAAAAAAAAAACAAAAAAAACAACCACTACAAGTCTACAACAACTACGATGGAAAAGAAGAGAGGTGGACGTATCCGGTGAATCATAAAAACATAAGTGTTGGCAGTTGACTTTTTCAGCTTTTAACCACTTAAAGTTAAAGCAAACTGCTTCATACAGTCAATATTCTCATACCATTAAATTTCATTTTTGCTCACGATTTTTTGAGTTTATAACGTGACCATAGTAAATGGAAATTTTATTTACCAGATGATAGTGCTTTGAAATTTATTTACTAAAACATTGTGGTCCCACTCTTTTATTCAAAGAAAAAAGAAAAATAGAAAATGGGACATCTTTGATCTCTTCTTCTCTACGCCATTTCTTTCGTTGAATACTTTTCTTTTACTTTTTCGACCATCTACCTGGCGGCCATCCCTCTTCCTTCTACCTGTGACTATGTTTTTCTCTCTATCACACTATATTTATAACTTATCTACAACTACTCATAGGCCCAATATAAATGTTAATTAATAGATTACCAGAACAATTCTAATGAGATAAGCATAAGTATTTAAGTGATCTTAAGTGCAATACACCATCTAGACATTTCTTTTGCCCACATAGTACACATTCGCACACAATCAATATTTTTCCGGGGATATCTCATTGAGTTTTTATAGAGAATCTTCTTGCTCCTTATATTTTAGACCTTTCACACATCCAGTTCTTCGACTTAATTGCTTTGAACCCAGTCCGTCGTTTCCAACAACTTGCTTTGAAATTCAACGACAATAATCTGTTGACTGTTGGTGACATCAAACTCAAACCAGAGTTTGATGCATCATATAGTTCTACGATATTGTATGTTAACAAAAAAAAAATATAGGAAATACCCTTGAAAATGGCAGAAGAAAGAAGGAGATATATAACGGAACATAGAAAGACGATGCCGGAAATAAAAAACGGGAACGACTCAGCGACGGAAAGATAGGAGAGAATACAAGGGACGAAAAACTGATATTATTGATTTTTATAAATATTTTTACTATTGTTTAGGAAATACTTTTAAAACTACCACTATATGGTAAATACTTTTTCTATTTACCATGCTATGGTAAAAAACTCCGATTTTTTTCCCATTTCTTTTTCATCTACACATTATTTGTAAAGTTCAAATAAAATTAAGAGCTCTAAAATTAATTCTATATATAATTAAATAGTTTACAAATAACTAATTTTATTCTTCAGAAAAGGTTAATGATGTCAAACTTTAGTGAACTCCTGTCAAACCCCTCCTCCTCCCCCCCCCCCCCCCCCCCCCCTCCTTTTTTTTATCATATTAAAAAATAACTACATATTATACAAATGTCTGTAAAATATATTCTGAATGGTCCATACAATTTAATTTTATTTATTACAAAACATATTCTTAAAACATCATATGTATTTTATTTTCATATTCTATTGTTACATAGTGAACTTAAGAACTATCTATACATTAAAACCTATTTAAAAAAAAATATTAAAATAAATTAATAGGTAGCAATACAGAAAAAACACAATCAAACTTAAGCTTTTACCAATTTAAGGATCAAGCTTCTTAATATGTTTTACTAATTAAAATTTTCTACATGACATTTGTACAATTTAAAAGTATGTAACCAGGACAACGAGTAGAATGTTTAATTACTAACATATAAATACAACTTATCTGCAAATGGTAAAATACTTGTGTGTTTTTATATTTTCCTATGAAATAACTAAAAGTTGAAAGTGAAAAGTTTTACATGTATTTCGAGATATGTATTTTAATATCATTAATAGAAAAAGGCAATGGAATAAAAAAAAGGAAGAAGAAAAGTCTCCCTGCATAGCTTTTCACGGGTACATAATACTACATACAAAAAGACAAACCCCGTAGCTTACTCCTAAATTACTTATGTCACTCTCACTTCACAGAATCACTTTATTTCCATATCAAACACCTTCTCTCCTTTCTCTTTCTTGCTTCTCCAATGGCTTCTCACTGCACACTCTCACTCTCACTCATATTCCTCCTAGTCTTCACCATTAATGCTTCTTCACCATCATCGTCATCAACTTCTTCAGAAGCAGATATTCTGTTAACTTTCAAATCCGCCATTAATGATCCCATGAACTACCTCTCATCTTGGTCCAACACCACCACCACTCACCACTGTAACTGGACTGGTGTCACCTGTACTACCACCACCACCACCACCGTTTCATCTCTCACCCTTCAAAATCTCAATCTCTCCGGTGAAATCTCACCTTCGGTTTGTCAACTCTCTAATCTCATTACCCTTAACCTAGCTGATAATTTCTTTAACCAACCTATTCCTCTGCATCTTTCCCAGTGTTCTTCTTTAAAGACTCTCAATCTAAGTAGTAATCTCATCTGGGGTACAATCCCAGATCAGATTTCTCAGTTTAAATCTCTCAAGTTTCTTGATTTGAGCAAAAACCATGTCGAAGGGAAGATACCAGATGGAGTTGGGTCGTTACTGAATCTTCAAGTTCTTAATCTTGGCAATAACTTGTTGTCAGGTAGTGTTCCTAATGTTCTTGGAAACTTTACGGAGTTGATTGTTCTTGATTTGTCTGAAAACCCTTTTATGGAGAGTGAGATTCCGAGTGATATTGGGAAGCTTTTGAAACTTGAGCAGGTTTTGTTGCAAAGATCTGGTTTTTATGGTGAAATACCGAACTCTATTGTTGAAATGAAGGAGTTGACAATAGTTGACCTCTCTCAGAACAATCTTACAGGTGTTTTACCTTCAAGAATCGGAAGCTCTTTCGAAAAGTTGGTTTCTTTTGATGTTTCACAAAACAATCTGTTTGGGTCTTTCCCAGACGGGATTTGTGAATCCCCTGGGCTTACAAGTCTCAGCCTTCATACAAACTATTTCAATGGAACATTACCCAATACCTCCATTTCTGATTGCATGAATCTTGAAAGATTGGAGCTTCAAAACAATGGCTTTCATGGCGATTTCCCAAACAACTTGTGGTCATTGCCTAAAATCAAGGTTATCAGAGCCGAAAACAACCGGTTTTCTGGTGAAATACCTGATTCCATATCAATGTCTTCTCAATTAGAACAAGTTCAGATAGATAACAACAGTTTCATCGGCAAAATCCCTCATGGTCTTGGCATGGTCAAAAGCTTGTACAGATTCTCCGCCTCTCTTAATGGCTTATACGGTGAACTTCCACACAACTTTTGCGATTCCCCACTAATGAGCATCATCAATTTCTCCCATAATTACATTACTGGTGAAATCCCAGAGCTAAAAGAATGTAAAAAGTTAGTTTCTTTGTCTTTAGCAGATAACAATTTTGTTGGCGAAATCCCAGAATCGCTAGGAGATTTACCTGTGCTAACTTACCTTGATCTTTCCCATAATAATCTCACAGGTGAAATCCCCCTTGAGCTTCAAAATCTAAAACTTGCCCTTTTTAACGTATCTTTCAATAGACTATCAGGTAGAGTCCCTTCCTCATTAACCGCAGGACTTCCCGCTTTATACACAGAAGGAAATCCCGATTTATGTGGGCCCGGATTGTCAAATCCTTGTTCAAAAGATGATTCTCTGCACAAAATAGCCGGGATTTCAAAACTGGCTTGCGCATTGATCTCCTTAGCTTTGTTAGCTGGGATACTGAGTTTAGCATTTGGGTTTTATGTTCTTCGGAGATCGTCAATCCAAAAATCTGAAACGGGTATTTGGAGATCCGTTTTCTTTTATCCACTTCGAGTTACAGAGCAGGATTTGATCATGGCAATGGATGAAAAAGCTTCTAGAGGTAGTTCTGGAGGTTTTGGAAGAGTTTACATTGTAAACTTGCCTAGTAACGAGCTTATAGCTGTGAAGAAGATAGACAATATCAGAAACCAATCTTTTAAAACTTTGAAAACGGAAGTGAAGACGTTAGCCAAAATCAGACACAAAAACATAATCAGAATCTTGGGGTTTTGCCATTCGGATGATTCAATCTTTTTGATATATGAATGTATGGAAAAAGGGAGTCTTGGTGATTTGATAAGCAAAGGTGAGTTCCAGTTGGCATGGAGTTTTCGCTTGAAAATCGCCATTGGAATTGCTCAAGGATTGGCTTATCTTCACAAGGACTATGTTCCTCATTTGCTTCATAGAGATGTTAAGTCCAAAAATGTTCTTTTGGATGCTGAATTCGAGCCAAAGCTCACGGATTTCGCATTGGATCGGATTCTTGGTGAAATTACATTTCAATCCTCCTTTGATTCAAACTCTTTATCTTCCTGCTACATGGCACCAGGTATACAATATTACAATCCTTTATCCATATCCCATAGTTTGTGTGTTTTTCTTGTTTAGATTCTAATTATCACATACAATTTGAATGCAGAATTAGGGTACAATAAAAAGGCTACCGAACAAATGGACACATATGGATTCGGTGTCATCTTACTAGAACTTGTAACAGGTCGAGCAGCTGAACAAGTGGAATCAAATGAGGAGTCTCTTGATGTTGTGAAGTGGGTAAGAAGGAAAGTTAACATAAGTAATGGGGCAGTTCAAATTCTTGACCCGAAAATTTCGAGTTCGTGTAGAAAAGAAGCTTTGGGAATGCTTGAAATAGCTCTAAAATGCACATCGGTTATGCCTGAAAAACGACCTTCTATGTGTGAAGTCGTGGTTGAACTTCGATCTTTTGGCTCAAAGAATTATGCCCCTGAGTCTTGATTTTGTCGCCATCAGTTTGATGTTCCAACCAAGAAACAATCATATATCAAGTTTATGTAAATTATGAGTTTGAATTGCTTTATACAATATCCTTTTGTTTTCTCTATATGGTCGAAAAGCTTAGGTGAACAAACCAAGAAAAACCGTCATTCCAGCCCAAGTGCTTAACAAAACCATATTTTTTTTTTCTTTTAAGGTTCCGATTGTTACAGTAGAATAACAAGTTTATTGATATCAACTTGGAACTAGGGATGTAAACGAGCCGAGCCGAGCTTCACACTAATCGAGCCAGGCTCGTTTAAAGTTATTGAAGCTCATTTGTTAAATTAGCTTTATTCGAGGCTCGAGCTCATTAACGCTCAACTCGTTTCGAGCTTTTAACGATCCGATCACAGGTAGCTTGCGAGTAGCTCTGCCTGTTTACATCCCTATTTGTAAGTAATGTCAGTAACCCAAATAGAAAAAAAATAAAAAAAAATGCAATTCTTTGTCCCACAAAAAAGGTGAGAGGGAACGGGTGTTAAGAGGTAAAATATCTGGACCTGAATAAGAGGTAAATGAATGTTTTGATTTTTTAAGAGGTAAAATATCTAGAGTACTTGGATTATATATTTAACTATTTAAGAATTAGAGTTGGACCTAAAAAAAATTGTTTGCTTTTAAAGTATGCAAGTTGTTAAAATAGACAGTTTTTTTTATTTTTTTAAAGCTTAAAAGAGTTTTTTTTCTTAATTAATTTATATGTAGTTATCTATAGTTTATTAAAAAAAACTAAATTGCAAATTCAAAACAATATTCATATATAAATAGAATCAATCAACTAATTTAACCCGTTTTTAAAAGTAATTTTTTTTTCGAAAATGATATTTATGGTAAAATTCATTAAACCGTCTATGAAAAATTATCATTAAAAGGAGTTAGTTACAAAAAATTATATACATGAAACCATCTATTAGAAAATTAAAACAAATGATTTGAAATTTAATAAACACAAAGAATATGATGCATCATCAAACCCTTAAACAGATGAAAATCGATTCGGTTGAATTAAATTATTTGTTAATGTTGGCTAATTCATTGTGTAATTAAAAATGGTTTATCGATTACAAAAATGGATATCAAGTAAGTTGAATAAGATTATGTCGTTGTTTGATTAATGAAATTAATAACATCAAACAATTTGAAATGATATTGATATCACAAGAATTTTGTTTTTCCTAGACTTATATTACGTTAATATTTATATTAAATAATGTAGTTTTAGGACTTTTGTCTATTTATTAACATGTTTTTACATTTTTAATATATGTTTGTCGAAAGCTTTAGGCTTGAAGCTTTTAAAGGTTAAATTGGTTAAAATTCTAATAAAATTGTTTTAATCCTAATTTTTAAATTGAGAAGTGTAGTTTAGTAATATCAAATGATATTTTGATTTTGGATAAGTTTTTCAATATTAAATTGGTTTAGTCCTAAATTAAATATTAGTTTGAATATAGATGTGAATTTCATAGTTTTAGGCGGAGGTATATGTAGTTTTAAATTTTGTAAGGACATAAAAGTAATATTTAAATTTTGTAAGGACATAAAAGTAATTCTATCTTTTTTATTTTACCAGAAAGACGTCTGCTGACTTGAAAAGAGGTGAGTCCATGTCTGCTCCAAGAAGATGGTGCACAAACCTGTTTAGGATTGCGTCTTCTGAAAACATAAGGACATAAAAGTAATATTTAAAATTTGTAAGGACATAAAAGTAATTCTACCATTTTTATTTTACCAGAAAGACGTTTGCAGACTCGAAAATAGGTGAGTTCATGTCTGCTTCAAGAAGATGGTGCGCAAACCTTTTTAGGATTGCAGTTTTCTAAAAACAATCTACGAGATGAAACGTTTGTGTGCAGTCTGCACGACGCAGACAAAAGAGATTAAGAAGCTCTTTTAAAAAAAAACAATACTTTTCTCACCTCTAATTTGTACAAAAGAAATGTGTAACACCCGTTTTCCAGAATAGATCAGTTAAGGGCTTAGAGGGATCAATGTAAGGTTTTGGGAAAAACCTTGTTGGCCACGACGTGGAGATGAGAGTGCCACGACGTGGCAGTGCCCGGTGAGAATGCGCATCTCATTTTGAGTGTCACGATGTGACAACCTCTTGTTTGCAAAACCCTAATTTTTCGGGTCTTAAGCCCTATTTAAGGGAAGTGAGGGCTAGGGTTTGCACACCTTCAGCCGCCATCACCTCCTTTTCGATTTATAAACACCCTTAGCCTCGATTGTTGAGTTTTTGAAGTTTTGTGATGATTTTTTTGTGAGAAGAAGAAGAAGAAGACATCCTTTATGAATAGATCCAACAAGCAAGCTCCTCCTCCGCCTCCTAGCTCACCTTCTAGACCTTTGTGAGTCTTCGAGTTCCAACCTTTATGCTTCATGTTTCTAAATCTAGAGTTATTTGTCTTGTTCTTCATGTTTGGGTTAGTTGGTGTGGTTAGAATCCATAAAGTTAGCAACTTTATGGATCCTTTAGGTCCTAGATTTGAAGAATGACTGGGTTTTGAATCCTTTCATGAGGTAGTGACTTCATTTTCTCCATTTTTGACCTAGCTTGAGCTCAAGGCATGCAATAGACATGCATGCCTAAAAAGCAATGATTTTTATGATGTTTGGAGTGTAATAAGGCCTTCTAGAGAGTATGAGTGAGTTGCTTGAAGGATTAAGAGCTTAATGCATTAAGCTGTCCAGGAACAGTTCCTACGACGTGGCGATTGTGGTTATCACAAATGTTTTGTTCTGAGTCTGCCACGACGTGGCAGATGATTGACCACGACGTGGTGGCCAGTTGAGTTGACTTTTGGCTGTTGACTTTGACCGTTGACTTTTTGACCAAGTTTGACTTTAGGTTAATTTGAGGGTTTTGGGATGTAGTTTAAGGATTGGTCCCTGATTGTTGTATAGGTGACTTGTAGTACCAGTTTTTTTGGATTTGCAAGAGTTGTGCTGTTATCTGCTAGACTGCGATGTGAATTTTCTCACTATACTTTGTACTGCAGTATGTGTCCTTGTGTATAAGATGTTGTTATGCTGTAGTGACCTGTTAGACTGGTAGATTTACTATGATTAACTATGCTTGCTTGTTATTTTTTTGTGCATGTATCGACATAATGTGGTTGGGTTAAGGCAGTACTGCTTTGTGATGTAGGCTAACATACCCAGGAATGGTCCAACTATATGTTGCAGGCTCAGGAGCAGTCCGACTTTATGTTGTAGGCTCATGATAGTGTGGTTGGGTTGAGGCGGTATTGCTTTGTGTTGTAGACCAACATACTCGGGAGCGATCCAACTATATATTGCAAGCTCGGGAGTGGTCTAACTTTGTGTTGTAGGCTCAGGAGGTGGTCCAACCCTATGTTGTAGGCCTGGTGTGCATGCATTGTATGTGTATTGATGTGTGGGGTATTTTCGGGGAACTCACTAAGCTTTGACTTACAATTATGGATTAAATGTTTTTCAGGTACTTATCGAATGACGAAGGCGAGACGGTACACACACATCAACCGTTTTATGATCTGAGATTCCACATTGTTTTCCTTATAACTCTGATTTGGAGTTATGGTTTATGAACAAATGGTTGACTTTAACGTAACTTTATAAAAATGAGTGTTTATTCTATTTTAAAAATGAAAAAATTATTCTGGAATTTGGGACGTTAAAAATGAGTGACCTCTTCATTTTAAATTTTTTTTTTGTGAATTCTCATAAGGAACCCTAAAGCAAGCCATATAAGACTTCAATTTTTTTTATCTTGCAACCCTATGCATACATGCTGAAAACATAAAAATGCAAGTTCATTAAAGATTGTTGTGAACTCAATAGAAATGTAACGCCCCGTTTCTGGTACGTATTTTAATTCATTAAATTTCATTTTATAAGATCTATTCGACGAGTTGTAGCCCTGATTTGTCGAGTAGATGCCAGGTTTGGACGCGGGGTTAAGTGATCTACTCGGCGAGTCCACGCCTTGACTCGACGAGTAGGCCAGTATGGGAGAACCCTAATATTTAGGGTTTACACCATATTTAAGCAACATTATAGGCCTCTTGTTCAGCCTCCGTCACCTCCAGAGCAGTACTCTTGAAACCCTAATCCTCCATAAGTGAACTTGAGCTTTCTTTGTGATTTTGAGAGTTATTTGGTGTATTTGAAGCTTGTGAGAAGAAGAGGAAGAAGGAGGACTTAAAGTGAAGATTGTAGATCCAAGAACAACATCAGCTTCTCTTCACTTTCTGGTAATCAAGCCTCATACTTGATTTGTAGTTTCTTAGATCTCCTTGTCGTCATCTTTATGAGGTTTTGGGGTCCAAGGAGCTTGATCCTTGGGACTTGGACGTCCCAAGTCGATTTGCACACAGATCTGGAACCTTGGAGGGTCCTCATGGCATAAAGGTGCCATCTTTATGGCCATGAGAACCCCAAGTATGAAACAAACCCCATTTTTGGTCCTTTGAGCATAAATGTCCCATGCATGAACGTAAAGTTCATGACTTTACGTGATATATAGATCTTAGGAGCTTAGATCTACCTTGTGGATGAGTTTTTGCACATCAGAAATCGAATTATAGACTTGGACATGCATGGACTCGGCGAGTCGTAAGTTGGTTCTCAAAACTGTTATGACTCAGAGGAACCTATTTTAGTTCAGAAGGGATTTAGATGAGTCCAGGGAAGGGGCTCAATGAAATGGACGAAGCCATGGATCTGGAAACCATGGGACTCGGCGAGTGCAGGAACGTACTCGGCGAGTCCAAGACCATCTCCCAACTTATGAAGATGGACTCGACGAGTTGTTCATACAACTTGGAGGGTCACAGACTAGACACGTTCATAAGATGAAGAAAACTCGACGAGTTCAGGAAGAACTCGACGAGTTCAGGAAGAACCCGGTGAGTCAGATGAGGACTGTCCCGATGATATGATTGGAAAGGGAACTCGTCGAGTTTTTGCTAAACTCGACGAGTAGATTCGGGTTAGGGGGTAGATGAAAGAATAGGGACTCGGCGAGTTGGCGGGCCAACTCGGCGAGCCAAGTCAACTGGAATGTTGACTTTGACCAGAATGTTGACCTTGACCAGAATGTTGACTTTGACCAGAATATTG